AATCTATTGCCAAATAAGTATTCTCTTAACTTGCTGACAGCCTTTAGTCACCACTCTTTTGAAATACAATGGTGTGCGGGGGGGAGGGGAGGTAAATCAATGCAACATTAGTATTATTTTATCCCAAAGCCTTATTGCCTTAAGCCGTTATACAAACAGAACAGTGACTCGTTACGTTTAGTGTTGCAATATGAAAAATCTTTATTTAAATACGCAAAATAAATATTTCTTAAAATGTATTTTAAAATAATTTAAATAACTATAGCATCTTTTTCAAACTTAAGACTCTAGATAATGTGAGCACCACCTACTGATAAACCAATGGAGCAATAACAAGTCAGAGTCACACAGCTCAAATTCAGAACTTTCAGGTAAAAAGATTTTTTTGGAACCATTTTTCTTATATTAAAAAGGGGGAAAAAAAGTTTACTGAGCTTCATAACTGAATTTTCATGATTTGGTTTAGATGCAACCCTAAGCAATCTGTAATAAGCATTTATCCCTAATATTTACACTCAGCCAAACCTATAAAAAGCAAGACGCAGTTTAAATCTTGTCTTGCTTATTTTGCTATCCAGAAACAATTAAATGATTGTAGTATATGGTCCAGTTACTGGTCTCCCTGACCAGTAAGTGAATCATTAATGTTGTAAAGTAAATCTAAACATTTATGTTAAATTTAGGCCATGTCAAATCCTATTCTAACACAGGGAAGGGCATTTTTAAAAATAAATATTTAAGAAACACTGACTTTATTTAGAAAGAAGCCCACAGAAAAGTATTTTGAAGTGGGGTAGTCTTTATCTACCAAGACTACCACTTATTCTTGTACAAAACTATACATATATGGAGCACACCAACCCCAGCACTGAAAGAAATGCTGATAAGCATTTTTTCAAATGTTTCAGGTTCTACATCTGTAAAGCCTAATGAGTGTTAAGCAGTTCTTTTACAGTACTTGGCAGCTTCAGATATTTGTGAAATCTGTACAAGCAGCCAAAACACATTTACAGCATATTTAGTATCAGGGTAGATCTTGGACTGGACCTGCATTTGATGCACAGGGCTGGGCCTGACAGAGACACCTCTGTACTATCTGATAACAGGTGCAAGGCAAGTACATTAAAAAGACAGCTGGAAGAGTTGGTTAACTAATACTTTCAGTTACAGCAGCAGTCCTCAAACCAGGGCGTGTAGGCAACATGTTATCCACAGGCTGTTAAGAATGCATGCATAACTAAAACTTGGCTCATCATTTCTTTGTACAAAGGAAACTGGACGTTACCTAGACTACTTCAAGTTTACCTTGCCAATCAATATTACAAACTTGCCTCAGAGCCTAAAGCTAAAGTTTTGTTCCTTTTAGTGATAGATGATAAATTACTTGATTATATCTACTGAAGACAACTACAGCATCAGACTTTCTGATCAGAACACTTATTACCTGGATTAGAACTCTAAAAACAGTACAGCTTTGTCCTCATGATGAATTAGTTCCTTTGTAACAGAGATTAAGAAACCCACTTTCTCATTGTCAGTATTTAGTGATTCAGTGGTTTCATTTGGTGTACTATTCTAGAGTGCTTGCCAAATCTAGACTCTGAAGAACCACTATCTATAGCTAGTGCTAGATAGGTTTGGGATGGAACAAGTACATAGAAAAACCACTGGTTGATTTAAACATTCATGGAAAAAAGTTATGATTTCACCAATGTAATTATTCTGGAAAAATCAGCATCCTAGTAGTGTCACCATCACTCTGGCAAATCATTTTCTTCCAGATAACCTAAACATCACAATATGAAGATCTGAAAGCTATACATCAGATTACTGTACAGAAAATATAAAAAAAATTGGAAATCAATTTGGCTGACTGCAGTAAGATTACTATACAGTTCTATACACAAGGAACACCTGGAATACAACAGTATAGTTACTGAAAAAAAAGTTATTAAGGTTTTTCTTCCTTGAGGGCACCATATCTTTTCTTGCCTGCCAAATCACAAAGGTTTTTTAGAAAGAGGAGCTGTACTGTATCACCCTCTTGTCTCTCTAACCATTTTATTCCAGTTTCAAAAGCTGAAAAGGCTTCCACATGTGAAGGGCCAATTTCCTCTTCCTTATCTTTAGGAGACTGTTTGCACTCTGTTTCTTGTGTAGCCAAGGTTTACAATCTCATCATCCATTAGGATGCGATACCCTGGATCTCTAGCATCAACAGGAAGCCATCCACCTGTGTTGTCATCACACTGTTTGCAACCTGGAATGTTACCTTAGCATGCTGACCTCTGCTTTGTTGTCCTCACCATCATCACTACTACCTGTGTGCATCACAGCCGGTGGCCATAATTTCTTCCAGGCTTGGAACAGCGTGATTCTTGATACTGATGCCCAAGCATCATACGTGATGGCAAATGCTTCCTTTAGGTCCATCTTTTTGTAAACATTAAAAATTCCTTCATCGTCACTACCAGCAAGAAACAACTGATGCAGAAATATTCTGTAAAGATGCCTGAATGTCTCAATCACCTGTTGATCCACTGGTTGAAGGATGGACGTGATATTTGGTGGGAGGAAAAGGACCTTGAAATTCTCATTTTCTTTATTCAGAATTTCTTTACACAGCTGGGAAGGTACATTACCTAAAATAAGCAAATCACTTCCATGCTTTCCATTTTTCTTCTGATGTTTTGTAACTTCAGGAACGAACGCATTCCTGTACCAATCCCGAAACACACCACTGTCAACCTAAGCACTTTTCTGGTTTCTGTAGGCTGCTGAAACATTTGCAAGTCTTTTAAAGCATTGGGGACCTTTGTTTTTTTCAAACGACATGCACTGGAAGCCTATGGGACCCACCTGAGCTGGCACATATCATGGCTGTGATACAATCCATGCTTACTTTACATACCAGAGCTGCTGCTTTCTGCTGTGAGGTTAAGGCCTTCCGAGGCAAAGCTTTCCAATTTAGACTGATTTTGTCAGCATTGTAAACACTCTCTCTGTCATATCTTCCGCTTTCTACGGTAGACAAAAACTTCATTTTGAATGAATGAGCTGCTGGTTTGTCTGCAGGTAATTTCTTCCCTTGCGTTTTCAATCCTCTTATTCCATGATGCAACTTGAAATTTTGTAGCCACCTAGTGTTGGCTTTGAAATTTGGATCCCCATTAAGTTTTTCATTTAGCTCAAGTGCTTTTTCACAAAGAAGTCGCTGAGATACTGGGTCTCCTAAAACTTCTTATCTGGAGAAACCATGTATGAACTGCATTTTCTAGCTGAACATTCTCTGCCTTTTTCATGGATTTCCTTACTTCACTTACTCTGCTGTCCACAGTCGACACAAAATTTATAATAGATGCACTGTTTTTCTTCTTCAAGTCATAAATTATTGATAGACCAACATTATAGTCATCCGATAGCTTTGAGGCCGATTCCCCTTTCTTTAGCTTTTCTATAATCTCAACTTTCTGCTTCAAGGACAGAACAACAGGCTTCCGCTTGGGCACCAAGGTAAAAGTGTAACTGCTGCATACAACTTAAAATAGCGAAGCGTGATCTTCAAAATCTCAAAAGTACTAGTAAATAGCAGTTCTCAACAAGCAAAACCCAAGTGCTGTCTGATGCCAGAAAAGGAGGCTCAGATTACTGACCACTCGTACAAGTCAGAGTTCTGGACACAGAACTTATTTTACTGACAGGCACAACATTTTTCTTTGTTAAAACTGTGCAAAACCTTCCAGTTAATTGATGTTTTGAACAATCAATGTTCTAGTCACTATTTGCTCCTTTACGTGCAAAGCCTGCTAACATTTTGCTATCATTTTATTCTCTCTCAAACTACTGACACAACTGCTTGATAACAGTAGCAGCAAACACTTTGGAAACATTCTTTGTGTCTTCTTCACCCACAACATTTTTACTGAACGGCAGCAGAGTCCATACAGTATTCATCAGCATTTAACCAATTCCTTGCTTGTTGTAGGTTCTGAGACTACTTCGTCACGCATAAACTGTTCCTAGAAAAAACAAACAGTGTTTTAACTTCTTCCTACTGCCATCCCCACAGTTGGTGTGGGGATAGCTCGGTGCCCCCCCAACCCCATCTTTAGAGCATCTGCTATCAACCTCTGAGCCTCACTCCTTTCTGCATTATTCCTTCAGCTGGATCACACTTCACAGTCTTATTGCAAGAATTCAAAAACTGGTTTGTGTGTGAGATCACACTCATGATGCTCTGCAAACCACAGGCCCCTGACATAGGAAACAGGTGCTGACCAGGACTCTCCCCCTGGCAGCCTCACCCCGGCGGGCAAAAAGAACCAGACAAGCTTATTTGGATGCAGGGGGGGTGGGGGACAGGGCTGCCGAGCGCCTGCGGCCCCGAGAGGGCCGGTAGGGAAGTGGCCATCCCCAAGCGCCTCTCACCTGGTCGTAGATGACGCGCACGAGGAGCGAGCAGCTGGGGCACGTGGCCACGTCCTCGCCGTTCTCCAAGTCCTCCTGCAACACAGGCAGCCGCGCGCGGCCAACGGTCAGCAACCGTCAGCGCTCAGCGCCCCCCCACCCGGCCCGGCCCGGCCCGGCCCGGCCCCCCCTACCCGGGAGATGAGGAAGCGGTCCCCGCAGGGACACGGGTAGCTGTAGGTCTCGGTCTCCTCGTCGTACTCGAAGTCCTCGATCTCCACCTCATCGTGGAACACGGACATGGCGCAGCCTACGACCTCCGGCCACCCCGCGCAGGCGCGCTGACCTCTGTGGCACCCAGTACGCATGTGCCGCTAAGGCGCATGTGGGCTAAGGCTCACGTCACACGGCCCAGAGCCAATGAGGACAGAGCAGGCGCTCGAGGGTAGCCAAGCCCCCTCTGTGGGGGAGAGGCCAGACAGCGGTCCCCCTCCCTGTCAACGTCATTGGCATCCCGGACGTCACTAGCATTCCCCCGCACTCCAAGAGAACCTTCACTGCGCATGCGTCCTAGGTAGCAACGCTCTTGGACCCTCAGGTGACAGCACAGTGCAGTGCACACATGGACCAGCCCCTCCCACCCCTTAGACAGCTGCGGTGTGGGGGGTGGGATGAAAGAAGACAGCTCGCGTGCGCGCGACCTTTGTCACGTGACTGCGGCGCTGGGCGGTGAGTTCCCCTTCCCCCATCACGTGATGCGGCCGTGGTGCCGGTAGGGCCGTTGGGTGCCAGGTCTGCACGCGGGAGGAGGGGTAGTAGCGGGCAGGGCCCTTGTCTCCTGTTGGCGGCTCCCGGCCCCGGAGCTGTGCGCGAAGGGGTGGGGGGAAGGGACCGCGCCCGTGGAGCGTGGGGGAGGGGGGCACCGGAGAGACTCGTTGGTTCCGACAGGCAGCCGCCCGCCCGCCCGCATTGTAGCCCCGAAGCCCGCCCTGGGCGGCAGGGGTGGAACGCGGGGGAACAAGAGTTCCAGTCGGACGTGGAGCGAGTGCTCCCGGCGGCGCAGCCCGGCCAGGTACTTCCTGGTGTGGCAGCCGGTGACCTTTGCGGCCCCACTTCCTGGACGCTCTGTGCCCCCAGGAAGACTTACTCTGTGTCACACAGGTTGGACCCCAGAGTAGTGGGCTGTTCTAGCCGTCTGGAAGCAGCTCTACACCCCGGTTCCTGTCACCCACCTCCCTAAGATATTGCCCATGGTTGCCTTGCTGTTTCAGGCAGAAGTGGCGGTGCTCAACCAATAGCTAGGGCTGCGAGGGGGCTAGCAGGACTCTTGTTGCCTGCCAAGATGGCAAAGAGCTTCCCCACTTCAAACACACACCCCAATTTTGGGGGGCAGGTGCATGTTACATGTGCGTGTTATACTTTTCAGCCTGGAGAAGTGAAGCCTTGGGGTGACTTGGTGGCAGCCTATTAGTGTATAAAGGGTGTGCATCAGGAACCAGGGGAGCGTCTCTCTCTTCCCTCCCCAGCCTGTCTCTCACCCATTGACCTCCTCAGTCTACATTTTCACTGACTACCTGTCTTACATGCATACCAGCCCAGCCCCTGGCTTCTTTACTTTTCACTCCATCCAGGAAGAGCACACACCAACTGCTGAAACTTCCTTAGCCTGACGAAGGGTTTTTGAACCCGAAAGCTTGCCTAATAATTATTTTCCAACTATTTGGGTTGGTCTAATAAAAGATATCAGATTCACCCAAGGAACCTTGTCTGCCTCTGTTCACCAGGGCACCCCAAGGGAAGACGAGGGCTAGCAGTCACAAAGTGCTGGAAGACCGCTTTAGACTGGGCATAAGGAAATACTTAGTTACTGTCTGAGCCTCCCAAGTCTGAAATAGACTCCCACCAGAAGTGGTGCAAGCACTGGGTACCTTTAAGAAATGCCTGGATCTTGCCGGGGTCATCTGACCCCAGCTGACTTGCCCCTTGGGCAGGAGGCTGGACCTGCTGATCTTGTGAGGTCCTTTCCAGCCCTATTGTCTATGAAATATGTGAGGGGAAAATATAGTTGTTTCTCACATGCTAGGAAAGAACTGTAGCATTTGCCAAATTAGGATGTAGCCTACAAATGTTCATGCCTCTCTCAGCCATTTAATCTCCTGGGTGCCTCCGCCTTACCATCTGTCCTTGTATCCAGCTTCATTATTAAAATGACTACTATTTTTACAATCTTACTTTGAAAAATACCTGCCCTGGCATAATTGCACGAAGGAGTGATGGGGTAAACAGGGCTTGCTTCAACTTTACATTGCTGAGGGGAGCCAAATGCATTCAACACATAATCATTTAAGATAAATAAGTCCACTGATGCTCAAAAGTTGTGATGGGATTCTGAAGTTGGTCCATTTACTTACCAGCAGATGTCACTGTTGTTAGTAGAAATTATCTTGCATGCCCTTTTTTTAAGGATATGAAATCAGAAAAGAAGCTTCATCAAAAGAAGACTGAAGTCTTCATTTGCCTTGAGTCCTTTACCTCTCAGCCTTCTAATTCCCATGACTTTTTTCTTGAGTTTAAGAAAAACACTTGATATCACAAAAGTCCCATTTACCATAATAAACAGTTTTCTAAGAGACTCCACTATCTTTAAAAAAAATTTTTAGGCTTCATTGTCGTGCAGCAAAGCTTGAAAACATGAAGCAAATGTACTGTGGACTCTCTGAAAACAGAAGGCAAGTATATAGAATGAACATGTATTTTGGTTTAAAACCATCAGATTTTTGTAAACAAATCTCATATTTTGGGGCCTGGCGAATGATTTTTTTTTTTTTGAACGCTTGAGGCTCACAGAATTGCAAAGCAGGCTGGTATGATTGAACATGACTGCCTAACTGGGCCTGTACCATGTCTTGCTAAAAACAGCTTAGGTATTTTAATGCTTGCAATATTGCTCATCAGTAATCTATTCTATAGTATATGTTACAATAAAAAGATGAGAGTCCTTTTTGATATTTAATAACAAAACCCATCTCTGTAAATTTCAATATTAAAGAGTAGCGGGGCACTAAAAGTTAAGCTACTTGCAGGTGTTAAAAAAAACCCCAAAATCCTGTGCTTTATGGGAAGCAGGAGCGTGTTACTTCGGCCCGGCTCTGCAGTGCCTGTATAGATCAGGCACTTCAGCGGGGCTTTTTGGCACTTTTATCTAAAGCCAAGTCAATCAGCTATTAGATAAAAGCACCAAAAAAGCCCCACTAATACACCCAATTTATACAGCCATTGGGCAAGCTGGGTCCCACTAACATGTTGCCTCTTTTGGGCACATACTGGTTTCAGTGTGGGAGCACGCTGAATTTAAATCGCCTTATTTGGTGGGGTTTTTTAAACATCTGCAAGCAGCCCTAAATGCTATGTTATCACTATTCAAGTACAGTTAAAACAATAGCAGACATTTCTGAAGTCTAAAACTATACACTTTGAAGAGTAGTATTATATGCCTTCCATTTCTGAGATGTCTCAGAAATGATGAAAAGCCCAGTCTTCCATTTGCACAAGATTATAAGCAGGATAAAATTGCCAAGTGACCAGCCAATGCAGCTGTTGGTTAAAGCTTATGAGCATACAGTATAAATCAGTCAAACATGCTAGATCATTGCTGTTTTAAAGAATACAAAATGAAAAACAAAAATCCTTCTAAAATGAAAAAGGTGTACTTTTCAGGAATACAGCATAATTATTTTTAAGTGGGAGTAAGAGTTTAAGAAAGCTGGTAGAGAGGCAAGGGGCAACACTCTAGAAATGATATTTAAAAAAATATATCGTAGTCTAACATCAAAAAGTAAAGGCATTTGTAAGCATCCCATATGGGCCTCTTCCTGGACCATTTAAACTAATGAGCTTTCCTGATTTGGTTATCTAGTAATAGACTTGGTTTTCTTTCCTTTTTTTAGTTGCAGTAGCTGTTTTGTCAGGAGTAAGGTGGCTGGAGTCTTAAAACCATATTTTAATATTTTGAAACAATATGAAGTTGTTTTTGAATAAAGGAAGAACAAGAAAGTAAAAGGTTTAGCAGCTGCTGAATTAATCCTTGTGAAAGGGTCCAATTTAGTAGCCATAAATACTGAAATCCTTTACTTATCAACAGAACAGCTAGAACAGAGGCAGTACACTATAGTTTTTCCACTATGCTTCATCGTTGTGCCTCAGCGATGACCTGAAGGGCTGTTCAATCCTTGTTTTCTGTACTGAGTCTATAACAATATTGCTTGTGGGTTTTGTTTTGGAGGTGTGGGTACCCTCCTTTGTGAGTTTCCTGGGATGAGCACATTCCTGGGATTACACATGGATCACTAAAAAAAGGTCAATTTTGAATGAAATCCTCGTTGGCTACAGAACATAGAATTCATTAAAACATGCCGTGTTTTATAGGTTGGGATAAGGGAAAAAAGTTGTCATTGAGTATTTGGAGATTCCGAGCTGTTCAAAACCGGAAAAATGCCTCTTGAGCTATAGGTGAAATCAAGCAAGCTGAGCAAGAAGTACTTACTACATCATTATTTTAAATTGATTTCTCAGGAGCTGGTAATTGAAAAAGGAGCATCATGGTCCACCCTGCTTTTTCTGTAGTTTTTGCTGTTCCTCAGTTACTGCAAAGTACTGCTAGGATTTTTCCTGCTCGTTCTGCATTATTGTGGTTGAGGCACTCGGCTTCTTGTTACTGCACAGCCAACGGGTAGGTTATCACTTTACAAACACTGCTAAATATTTTATTTTTCCAAGAGTGTGAGAAAATAATATTGTTATAATATAAACCAATCATGCTTTAAAGGACTAGAAATATTCTAATCACCTGGCTATATTTTAAGCACAATATTAAGATTTTGTGTTTAAATACAAGATAAATTATACTATCCATTAATCTTAATTCTTGTTTAGATTTCTGTGATCTGAAATCTGGGGATGGATTAATATGGTAAATTGCCTTTTTAATAGAAACACCATTAAGAGGAACATTAATGCCTTTCAGTTGTAGTAATTATGGTAATTTTCATTTGTTTTTTGTTACAGCACAATGAAATCCAAAAGAAAAATGGATCATCTGGAGAGAACAGCAAATAACTTTCGACAGGAGGTTAGATTTCTGTTCTGCAGAACTGAATTATTTTTCTTTTTGTTGTGAAAAGACTGAGTAATCATATTTTCAATGGTGATTAGACTTCTTTCTTTCCTAGCTGAGAGTTTTTGCCATTTGTTTTCCTTATTTAATGTATGTATATTCTGAAGATGCTGCTGCTGTTTATATTTTTTTGGGGGGACTGGTAAAGTATATATTGGTAACTGGTAAAATATTATTCACCGGCTGGATGAACGGACTGTAAAGTGGGTAGAAAACTGGCTGGATCATCAGGCTCAGAGGGTAGTAGTCAGTGGTTCAATGTCTAGTTGGCAGCTGGTATCAATTGGAGTGCCCCAGGGGTTGGTCCTGGGGCCAGTTCTGTTCAATATCTTCACCAATGCCATTTTCCAAGTCATAGAGTGCACCCATAGCAAGTCTGTAGATGACACCAAGCTGGGGGGAGTAGTAGATACACTGGAGGGTGGGGCTAGGATTCAGAGAGACCTAGACAAATTGGAGAATTGGGCCAAAAGAAATCTTAAGAGGTTCAATAAGGACCTCCTTTGCCCTTGTTGCAAAGAAAGCTAGAAGCATACTGGGCTGCACTGATAGTGTTGTCAGCAGGTCAAGGGAAGTGATTATTCCCCTCTATTCAGCACTGGTGAGCTCCAGCACATCTGGAGTACTGTGTTCAGTTTTGGGCCCTCCCACTATAAAGAGGATGTGGACAAATTAGAGAGAGTCCAGCCAAGGTCAGCAAAAATGGTGAGGGGGCTGACGGACATGACTTTTATGAGGAACGACTGAGGGAACTGGGATTACTTATTCTAGAGAAGAGGAGACAGAGGGGATTTAATAGCAGCCTTCAACTACCAGAAGTGGGGTTCAAAAGAGGCTGGAGCTAGACTGTTTTCAGTGGTAGCAGATGACAGAACAAAGTTGTAGCAAGGGAAGTTTAGGTTAGATATTAGGAAGAATTTTCTCACTAGGAGGGTAGTAAAACGCTGGAACAGATTACCCAGAGAGGCAGTGGAATCTCCATCCTTGAAGCGTTTGAAGACCCAGCTAGACAAAGCTTTAGCTGGGGTGACCTAGTTGGGAATGGTCCTGCTTTGAGCAGGAGGTTGGACTAGATGACCTCCCTTCCAACCCTAATTTTCTCTGATTCTATAACAGAGCTAAAATATCAAATAGGTAAGTTCATCAAGGCATTCAGTAGCTCCAGGTTTATTTTGGATTGTTCAAGTAAAGGAAATATTAGGTATTTGGTATTTTAGGTCTCTCTCATCCCTGTATTAGTTTTTCAAAGATGCATAGATTTTGGCTGTTCTGTTCTAGTCTTTCATTTTTTAAAGATGGCTTAAAGAGGGAAACAAACAGTTTTCTTCCTCCTTCACTGCATATAAAGAACTCAAACAACTCAGAAGCCCTGGTGAGGAAAACAATTTTTAGTGGAATTTTCTCTGCTTGTGCTTTAGTTTATAGGTATGGTAAGTATCAAATCTTGCCCTCTAACAGAAGCAAGGGACACCTGTTTGTGGTCTTAGTTTTGTATCATGAAATTAATGTACTCATGGATGTGGTGTAGCTTTAACATAGTTGTCTTGTTAATTAGTTGAAATAGATATTAACAAAAACCAAACAACCCATTATGAATAACTTTTTCAGTAATTCTTCTCTAGTAATGAAAAGAAAATGTCAATCTCTTCCTCTGTTTCAGGGATGTATTTGATAGCCGTGTTTGTTTGAGACTAAAAGAAATGCAAAAATCTAGAACTCTTGGTTCAGAGATGAGACCTTTTATTAGACCAACTAAGAAATCACATAAAAATTGTCTTTTTCTGCAAGCTTTTGGGCTCTCACACATTTTTTGCATTTCTTTTTGCCTCAGACCAACACGGCCACTAAATACATCCCTGAACCATGGAAGATGACGAATTTTAGCCAATTTTGGATTTTAAAACTTCACTGCTGAACAACAAGAAAGATTTCTAAAAACCTCCCTGCATGCCATCCGACACCAACAGGGAAGTAATCCTGCCTGATCTACACAACAATAAAGAGCAACTTACACAGACACTTGCACGGACCCAGAAAGACAGACTTCCATCTTCAACTCCCTCTGTGCAAAAATGAAGTTTATTTCCTACCTATGGGGACTCTTTACCATCTTTAAATTTTCCCTGTGCCAAATGAAGGGCATGTGAGCCTGAAAGCTTGCAGAAAAAGACTTTTTTTTGCTATTTCTTAGTCTTATAAAAGTTACCATCTCTGAACCAAGAGTTCTAGATTTTTGCAATCTCTTCCTCTAAATTTCAAGGAGAGTTGGGCACTCTAGTTCCTCTGAAAATCCAACCCTAGCTACAAAGGATTGTTCCCTTGTATAATTTTTTCCTTCAGCAAAAACAAGCTGATGAATCTATTGAGTTCTGCTAGCTTACTTGTTTTCTTGGATGCCGCTAAATTACTCTCCTGACTTACCATCTCTGTTCAGTACATTGACCCTGGGGAAGCAAAAGGGGAAGCTGTGGTTTGGGAGACACAAAAAGGTGTGGAGGGCTGAGTGAGATCTGTGGAAGGAAAGGAAGTGAAGAAGTAAGGTTTAGTGCTATTGCCTCAACTTCCTTGACACCTTTTATCATTTTTTACACTTAATTTATATTTAATGATTTACATATGTTGTTTTATTTCTGATCACAGAAGTTGGTTAATTTATGTTCTCTGTTTAGCTTGAAATCCCAGGTATTCAACAGTTGCTTCCCTCTGTGTTATCTTGCTTGGTCTATATATTTCTTTGGAAAGGTGAAACAATATATCTATATTGCATTACTAAAGATGAATACACTAGTCGTATCACCTGTTGAAGGTTGATAAAATAAATAGCAGGGGCAAGGAAAAAGGACTGAAACTTTCTACCTGTCCAATTCTAAACATTTGTATTTTAACCTGTGTTCCCCTCAACTTCGCAGTGTGCCAATAGATTACTGTTGTGGATGGCCAGTATCTTCCTCAAAGATTCTCTATCATTTGTATCAAATTTGGTTTTCTGTAATAAACTTTAATTGTTACTCAACATGAAGTTAAGTGCTTTTTGTCAAATAAGGTTAGCCAAGGAGCAAATTAGGGTGTGTATTGGGAAGGAAGAGGAAGAAAGGATGTCAAAATTGTATGCCCATTTTCCTGCAGTTAAGCCCTCTTCCTCAAGAGAAACATTTAAATAGCCAGACACTTGTCTTGTTAACTAGTATGACTGCATTTCCTGTTTAATATTGCCTATTAAAGTGGAAAAGAAAAGTACACCACTAACTTTATTTTATGCTGGCAAGCATCCTGCTGTTTTACTGGACAGTAGATATGTTCAAATGATGTTTTATAGAGAAATTCATTTCCTGACATGTGTTTTACATTAGAGCATAACTGGTTTAAATTTCATTTGTTAAACTATTTGATCTTTTACAGATGAGAAATGGAATGGTTATGGTGTGGTAGCTATCACTGCTTCTGATATTTCTTAGTGTAATGAACAGATACAAAGCCTTTAAAATGTTTTATCTTAGGATATAGACTGACCCATTTACAAAACTACTTAGAACAATCCTTTTTATTAGAGAAGGAAATGCTATTGAATTTTTAACAATAATTTAAAAATGCCTGTTTGTCCAGCACCAAGACATCATACAAGTTAGCTACTGATATCCCTGTAAGATGTTGAACATTAATATGATAATATTTTATCATCTTATTGCTAGGCACGTTTAGTTTGATGCATATTTGCTATACTGTGGACCAGATGTTGAATTGCTTCCTTGCACTGTCCTTGAAATCCAATTTTTGCACAAATGTAACCTCAGGCAGAATTTGGTGAAGCGTGTTTGAAGTCCCATTAATGACCTTGCAGGATTAGTTTAGATGGACCCCCATGTGCGGGGGGGGGGGGGGGGGGGGGGAAATCGAGGTGTCTGCAGGTTTAGGGATCAGCCCACAATGATCCTCTTATAAGGATCTACCCCTTTTTTGGGATAATGCTGTTCTTCATGACTCTTGCCATTAGCCTTTTAAATATAATGCTCGAGTCAAAAACCTTGGATGAGAAAACTCTGCCTCCTTCCCATTCAAAGCTGAAAACTGAAAAGCTGAAACTGAAAAGTTTCTCTTTCAACTGGAATTGTATAGTTACATAATGGATTCCCCAGTGTACACATTGGCCTTGGGCAAAATGGTATTAGCTGTTACCACAAATGCTCCCTTTAATATATAAAACTCTTTTGGCATACAGAAGCATATCATCTATCAACTGATAGAGTAAGTTCATTTCTCCCTATAATATAGATTCATATTTGTTCTTTTAAGAAATCTTGTTTTTATAAAGTATTGATGTAGCAGAACTGTAAATTCATGTTAGAGGGAATTTCTCTTCAGGAACTTAACATAGACAAAGGTTCAGGAATACTGGGGCAAGTTATATAAAATAAGTGAAACAGTTGCAATTATATAGCAAGCATCTTGAAAAAATAGAGATAATAAATTTCAGTTTAAAATAAGAAACAGCATTCAGACAGATTGGAGGTACTTTTATAACTAGCTTTTTTATCAGGCCTCAGAATTAGGGCTTAGTTTCCCAAACACATTGTTACTGATCCAGCAAATAAGATCTTTGGGGGTTGGTCACAGCCATGTTAAACAGTGTCTTATACAGTACACAGAGTTGTGACATGAGGCAATGAAAAAGATATGCTATTAATTCAGGGAAGATCCCATGGCTATTATGATTAAATTGTGTTTTGCCTTGCATAGAATCATATGCAATGGGTTAATCTAGAGGTTTTGCTGCAGAAAGTGAATTTTCATCGAGTTGTAACTCAGCGATTCTCAACCAGGGTGCTGAGAGACCCTTTTAAGGTTGCCATGGGGCCATGCACAATTTTAAGTATGTGAACTTTTACATACGATTCATGAACTAAACCCAGTGAATTCAAACAGGAATCCTCAGTGTCCAGACTTTCTGACCTGTTGTGGTCTGAGTTCTTTACAACTGAAGATCTTTTCAGTGGTCAAAAATAAGTGAAAGCTTAGAGCTGGCATTTTCCAAGAGTTGCTTTGAGCCTAAGCAAGGGTGCTTTGAGTCTAAGGAGTTGAAAACCAGTGTTCTAACTTGACATGATAAGGAGGCTTGTTTTCCAAAGAATTCTAAGCATCCGTCTCTTGAAAACCAGGTCCTTTACGATGTGTGGAGTTGACACCCAGCATCCCTAGTTATATTTGAAGACACTTACCTCATTGTATAATATAGGCCTTTGGGGGAGATGAGATTTTTATACCTTCCAATTTAGATGGATTGTTTTTGCAGTCAGAAGTGTACTTGATCATTTCAGGTTCTTTTCATTTGTTGATGTTTGCAACTGTCGAGACACAGGGCAGCCGGCCAGCAGCTCTTCCTGACTCCCACCAGGGCAGATAAGGGTCCGGGGCCTTAGAAGGCCGTCAGGCGGGTATTTGTGATGCTTGGAGTGGAATTAATTAGGCGGACGCTTATCGGTTGTAAAGCAAGATTATTTACTCACGCCGTCAAGGTGGTGAAAGACAGAGGTTAAAGATATTTGGTTAGTTATAGCTTAAAGTTCGTAGGTCGGTCTGCATAAGAGTTTAGTGGTTGGGCAGAGAAACGGTCGGGCTGGCAGGTCGTCGATTTACGTCTGAGAATTGAGTCGAGACGGGGGAAACTGACAAGTGATTAATTTGTCAGTTACTCTCACGCATATGTTCAGAGGTTTTTTAGGTGTGCGCGGAGGTCTCCCGTTCTTCACGGAAGTGAAGACGGGTTTTATTTGTGTAATAGCCGATTGCTTTTCGCCACCTCATAAATTTAATTAGAATCGCCAATTATCTAGCGGTCTTTGCTAGGGTGTTATCATAGGGTTACTCCTTGTTTTCTTTGACCAATTATAATAATTTATATAAAGCAAAGAAGGCAAAAGTTTTTATCTCTGTTAGTGGTGCAACAATACATTTCTTTTTGACATGCGCAGCAAAAAGCGATTACTATCATTATTGTTAACCCTTAGCTAACCTAGTATAAAAAAAACCTGTTTTAAATGGTTTTACTTGCTTGTGACATGGGCACTACTTAATTTGGTTGTGACAGCAACCTTGTTTCCCTATGTCATGTATTACAATTTTTTTTTTGATGAATTAAGAGCAAAACAATTAGGGGCAAATGATTTAGAAAATACAAATTTTTGGTTAAGTTCTCTACACCAGTGATTCTTAACCAGGGTGTGCTGCATTACTCTGGGGTGCCTTGAGAGCCTGTTGAGGGTGCCACACAATGCACTATTAGGTGAGCAACCATGATGCACAAGACCAACCCAGATATTTGAAATAAGAATCCATAGTATTAAAAGCATTCTGACCTGTTGTGATCTTTCTGTGTTCCTTGCAACAGAAAAATTACAATATTAGTTCTCACTCTTTTTGAGTATTCTAATATTATAAAAGCCGTTGTCTGTATGTCTGTCCGTAACACTTTATTTGCACTCCAATTGGTTGTCTCAGCAGCCAATCAGAGTGCTCTGCACAGAAAAAGACATGTGGCGGAGCACCACTATGACAGTGGTTCAGTGGGGCCTGAGGGTCTGGAGCGGGGTGGGGCCAACGATGCTGGCCCTGCCCCGCCCTCCACCCCTGGCCCTGCTCCTTAGAGGCAGGAGGGACCAGAGCCCTGCCATGACAGAGGGGATGGAGTGGGGGTGGGTGGGGCTGGCCTTGCCCCACCCCCCAGCATCTGCTTCTTGGAGGCAGGGGCTGGAGTGGGGTGCCCCCACCCAACAAAAGCCAGCAGGGAGGTGGTGGTGGGGAACAGGGGAGAGAGGGGTTACCGGTGGCAGCCCACCACCACATGCAAGCTCCCCTCCACACCCCCCTCCCCACTATTCTTGGAAGGTGGTGGCATGGGGTTGAACGGCAGGAGGTG